TATCTATCTATCATCTATCTATCTATCCATCTCGGAATTAAAAAAATTAAGATTAGTAAAAACACATGCTTTCTTTTCCCTCCTTATCTCATTTCCTTTCAGAATACTTTAGTCCAAAAGTCAGTAGCTGAGGCACAGCAAAATAACACAAAGAGGGGAAGTAGAAATGCAAGCCGAGCCCTGGTGAAGGAGGCATCTGCACGAAGGCCATGTGTCAGGTATCAGAGAGGAGGCTGTGGGAAAGGGGAAATGCTGATGGTGGTGAAGGGAAGGGCCTCATATGGATGGTATGGGTCAAATAAGGAAATATATTGAGGGTGATGAGATCCAAGTTTCTCATTGTCAGAGAAGAGAGTTACATATGCATAGCCATTCATATACATATTTAAATGTGTATTTCTCATTAAATGTTACTTTTTATCAACTTCTGTAATATATTTAAGTTTCTTTGATCAATAATGTGCCAATAATAATAGCAATGATATCTTAATCCGATAAAGGAAAACATAACACTTAGATCATCTGGTCATAAAGAATATAAAAATAAATTTTAATTTATATACATATCTTTAGAGCAGAAAGATAAAACGTTATCAATAAAATATCTTCAAGCATAAAATATATTATGTTAGAATAAAAGTCTGAGAGAGAAATGGAATGGAAATATGAATTGAGGACATTCAGTTTTTAAATAAAATGTCAACAATTAAAATATGCCTGGGATCAAACACCTAGGATCAAACCCTTTGACACTTACTGATCAAATAGAGGAAGAACTGGCCAAAGGGATTAAGAAACAAACAGAGAATTAAGAGTACAATCGGGACAGCCACAGGAATGCCAAGTATAGCCATAGTATAGCCATAGGAGTGCCAAGAAGAAAGTATTTCTTGAGAGAGCTGTTGACAGGACACTTTTTTTTTAAAGACCTGTCCTCTTTTTTCACCCTAATTTTTGTCAAAGACATTGTTGATGCTGAGGAAGACCCTAAGAAGAAAGCAACAAAAGAGCAAATACTAGAGGGCATTGCAGGGCCAGAATTCAAGCCCTAATCATTGATCAGGCAGAGAATAGAGACAGAGGCTGACAGCTCCAGTTAGTAGTTGAGAGTCACCTGAGCTGGTGAGATTTGACACATCATCTGGATTTCACAGCTCACACTGTAGAGATTCCGGTGTATCATCCTCTACCTTTATTCCCTCAGCTTTCAATTCTGGTTTTTTTCTTATATTTCTCTAACTCCATATGTCTCAAAATCAGTATTGTCTGAAGAAAGGCCAGTTGCTATCTGTACTGATCCATGTCCACATTTGGATACCTCGGAGTCTAAGGCCTAACCCATGACTTTCTTAGGCCTGACTGTAAGCCCTGGTCTAGTTAGGTACACAAGACAGTTACACTGGAGTGAGATGTTGAAGGAACAATTTGTGGCTGGTTTCTGAAGCGGATGGTTGGGCAGGTAGAATTTTATAGTTGCATTGTCTATATGCCTTATGAACCTTTGTGTTGGAATTAAGCTAGAGTTGCCAGGTTTAACAAATAAAATGAAAGAATCCCCAGTTAATTTTGACTTCCATGTAAGCAAAAGTAATACTAAAGGCAGTATTTGGGACATACTTTTATGTTCTAATAGGGCCACTTGAGTTTCAGGCATATAGTTCACAGTCTAACCAGCAGGAAAAAGGAAAGGCAGCAAAGGATCTGTCCATTCCTGTTAAGGGTACTTTCCTGGAGTAGTAAGTTACCCTTGGCCTACTGGATAGAACTTAGTCACAAGGCCACGTCTAACTAGAAGGAAGGCTGGGAAAGCAGTTGTTTATAAGGGACAGCTGCATTCTTAGCTAAAAATGGAGAGCTATTCCTGAGGAGGCAGGAGAAAGTAGATATGGAGGGTCAATGAGTCATCTCCATCAGAGAAATGATATGTATATGAGGTAAATTGAACTGGATTGAATATAACGATGCAAAAGAGGAGTAAAAGATGTCTTCAGATTTTATTTCAACCAGGTCAGTTTACAGAATGAAGGCTCCTTTGAACAGAAATGAAAAATACAAGAAAAATCATATTCAGAAAGTATTAAGCCTGTACCATAATCTTCTAAGTAAGGTACAATGCAGATGCCATAAGAATATGAATGACACCAGTTGTTCACCAAATCTTCTCTGTTCCACTTCCAGGGGGCAGTGTGTTTAACTGCAGGGGTTTGCTGTTATTGCTCAATAAAAAACAAAACAAAAAACAAAATGTTTAGTACTTAGTAAATGTTCCAAAAATTGATCAATGCTTGATATTTTTACCTATATTTTCAAACAAAAAAGTCTTCCAGGTGACCAAATGGAAAATAAAATTATGAAAATGGAGGCTTCTTGTGAAAATCATCAAGAGGGGCTTGCTGCCATTACAGAAATGGCTGAAACTGGTTTGGCTGCGTGGATAGAGCATAGCCTGCAGACTGAAAGGTCCCAGGTTCAATTCCAGTCAAGGGCACGTACCTTGATTGCGGACACATCCCCAGTGGGAGGTGTGCAGGAGGCAGCTGATTGATGTTTCTCTCATCAATGTTTCTAGCTCTCTATCTCTGTCCCTTCCTCTCTGTAAAAAAAAAATCAATAAAATATATATATTTTAAAATAAAAGAAAAAAATGCACAGCATGCACAACATCCTGTGAATGAGCTCTGCTGGCCAAGCAGTGATGGAAACCAATTTGCTTTCTTTTGGAGGAGACAAAGTAGCTATTGGCTCACTGTACTTTATCATATTTCCAGGAAGACTGAATCCACAACAGGAGGAAGGCGAGGCTTTAGAAGGACCGTGGAATAAGCCAGAGATGTAGATACTTATAAACATTAGGATTCCAATGCTGGCTCAGCCCTTCCCAGCTCTCGGGCCAAGGACAGCAGCACAGCAGTAATTCTGTTCTGGAGCACAGACGAGGAACCAGACAGAGGCAAAGTCCTTCCAGCTATGTTCTTGGAGGATATGGGATGAGGGGGTTGGGGATACAGAGTAGGTGCAGACATGGTTGTCTAAGAGATGGTTTCCATCTGCTACCACAGGAAAGACAGACTGAAGTAAACTCAGATCCAGTGGGACAATTTAAAAAATATATATATTTTATTGATTTTTTTTTTACAGAGAGGAAGAGGGATAGAGAGTTAGAAACATCCATCAGCTGCTTCCTGCACACCCCCACTGGGGATGTGTCCACAACCAAGGTACATGCCCTTGACTAGAATCAAACCTGGGACCCTTCAGTCCGCAGGCCGGCACTCTATCCATTGAGTCAAACTGGTTTCGGCCAGTGGGACAATTTGATGGGGTGAAAAGCAGAGACAGTGTTAAAAGTATGGAGGAGAAAGAGATGAATTACCAAAGAAGAGGTAGGGGTCACTTCTAGAAGAAAAGGGGATTTGAGCTGGGCCTTGAGAGGGAGCTAGAATTTTAGTATTCGGAGAAGAGAGGAAACGTTTTCAGGCAGGATGAATGTAGTAAGTCGTGAAAGGGCAGACTGTGAAGGACATATTGGCTCGGGCTTTAGTATATGTGGAACTGTACTAGCCACGGGAGTGGTACCATAGAGAGAAACGTTGGAGGGCTTCTCATTGCAGAATGAAGATTTATGACTTTATCACAAAGGCAGCCATTAAGCATTTTGAACCGTCAAAGGGTCAAAGCAGTCTAGGACTGTGTTCTAGGGCGGTGGCAAGGGAGAGGATGCCTGGAAAGGTCAAAGGTATGGAGGCCATTTCTGAAGTGATAATAGTTGAGAGAACCCTTGAAATAAAAATGTTGCAAAAAAAAAGGAAGAAACACACACACACACACACACACACACACACACACACACACACACACACGGTTGTCTGGAATAGCCTTGGTTAGAATGGATATTATTTTTTATTTAGCAACTAACCTAAATCACTTAACCTAAGCCTCCTTATATGTTCTCTAACAGGACAATAAAAATTACATCACAAGCTTGGTGTGGGGAGGGAATAAAAGTGTGTGAAACAGCAGGAAAAGTTTCTCCCTTGTTTTAAAAGTGTTTCCCCTTATTCTTTCTGAGTACAACCTGTGGGGTTCACACCGCGCCTATGTTGGCCCTTAGTGCTGTTCTGCAGGAAGCTGGTTTGCTTCTGTCTTCTCCCTTCCTGGACTGTGTGCATCCTCGGGTCTTCTGTGTGTATTCCTTCTCTCTGTATGCCCGCCAGGGCTCTGAGCACACAGTAGGCTCTCACAGGAAACAGACAGGATGTGCAGGGCAAGGAGGCAGGCGCGGGGAGCGCTTTTGCAGGTCTCTGGTGCCCGAAGCTGGTTTGCTTCTGTCTTCTCCCTTCCTGGACTGTGTGCATCATCAGGACTTCTACGTGTGTGTGTGTGTGTGTGTTCCTGGTCTCTGTATGCCAGGGCTCTGAGCACACAGTAGGCTCTCTAAGTAGACAGGATGTGCAGGGTGAGGAGGCAGGCTTGGGCAGCGCGCTTTGCAGGTCTCGGGGGCCCTAAGTGATACCCCAACTGGGGCCAGGAGCGCTGCGGGCAAAGTCCTACCCTCTTCAAGGGCAAGTAGGTCCCTCCCGAGGGGCGCGGGCTATGGGACTGGGAACTCACGTTCCCCCCCTAATCCCCCCTTTCTCCCCCGCACCCCCTCCCGGCTTACGAGGCAGGCTCACAGGAAATCCCAACCCCTTCCTCCCCTTGGCTCCTCTTCCCGCCCCGTTTTCCAGGAGCCGGTCCGGCGCGGGGCGGTGCGCGGGGGTGGGGGGGCGCGGGGGAGGGGAGCCGGGAACTTTAGGACCCAGGCTCGGGGCCCCGCCGGGACATTCCGGGCAGCTCCGAGGGCAGGCAGCCTGCTCGGGCCGGGCCGGATCGGACCGAGGGGGGCGCAGCCCAGAAACCACGCGGGCTGCAGAGCCGCTGCCGCTGGGAGAGAGTGAGCAGCTCACCCACCGCGGCCGCCGCGCCAGCCGGACCGGACGGCGGAGGACGTGACGGCGGGCATGGGCCGCCTCCCGCTGGAGCCCTGGCTGCAGCCGCTGCTCAGCCCCGTGGGCCTGGCCCTGGCCGCGGCCCTGCTGCTGCTGCTCCTGTGGCTGCGCGGCCGGCGCACCAGGTAGGCGCCCGCGACCCACCTCCCCGCGCGGCCCCGCGGCCACGCATGCGCCCTGGGCCCCGGGGACCGACCGCGCGCCGCTCCGGTGGCCAAGACGGTCCCTTCCACGGCCAATGGATCGCCAACATTTATGGAGGGGCTCCGACGTCTTTGGGGATCCTGGGGAATGGCAAAGGCTGCTTATGTCTCTTCTCTGCACGGACGCATACGTGGGAAAGCGCCGGGCCGAACAGGATTTGCAGGTTGCAAGGAGCCCCGGGCTGCGCTGCACATTGTGCGTCACGCGTGGATCCCGAAGGCATTCCCGCGCCCTGTTGCAGCCTGTGGATGCTTTAGGGCCTAGAGAATTCGTAGGTCATTTAGGGAGGGAAGTTGGCTTGCATTTCATTCCGTGGAAAGTGGCATGCTTTAGGAAAGTGCATGGTATGCAGAGTAGTGACTCCGGGTGCTTCTCTGTGCCTCCATTTACCTCATTGTAACCTCTTCTGGGGGGGGGGGGGGAATAATAGTCCCTCTGGGACTTTTGTGAGTACTAAATGAGTTTACAGGGTGAATTTTATTATGCATTTGCTCTATTATTTTTTTTTATTAGGACAAAACAACCCCCAGAAGTGGGTCGCTTCTTTTATGTGATAGGAAGTGTGGAAGTATTAAGATCAGAAGAAGTTCGAAATAGAAGTATTCATTTTGAAATCATTCTACTTTCCCCCTTTTTACCGGGTTATGTTTCCTTTTCCACCAGGTTCTTCATAGCTTTTGGAAAACAAGTAGGCATGTTTTACAGGAGAGTAGTAACTACTCTGTGATTCGGTATCATACACACCCACATTCACACACATTATGTGCATATGTATGTAAGTAAGATACATGCACACCTATATGTATCTGTATATCTCCAACTATATATCCTATATAAAAAAAAGACTAATATGCATATAGTCTGAACAGAAGAACGAATGGTTGCTATTATGTGCACTGACCCTCAGGGGGGCAGACACTGAACACAGGAGCTGACCCTGGTGGTCAGTGCGCTCCCACAGGGGGAGTGCTGCTCAGCCAGAAGCTGGGCTCACTGCTGGCGAGCAGCGCTAAGGATGTCCAACTGACAGCTAGCGGGGAGCGGGCCCAAGTTGTCAGTTGGACATCCCCTAAGGTCTCTAGGACTGCGAGAGTGCACAGGACAGGCTGAGGGACCTCCCCTGAGTGCATGAATTCATGCACCGGGCCTCTAGTATATGTAAATATACACATTTACATATATGTGTGTGTGTGTGTGTGTGTGTGTGTGTGTGTGTGTGTGTGTGTTTGTGATCTAGGTTACTTCTCAGTTGTTTTGGGGAAGTAGGGTAAAGATTTTTATGCCCATAGCTACTTTGGAAAGTTGCCACTTTTCCAAAGCAATTGTACTATTCCTTACAGTTCCATCAGTGCTGTATGTGAGTTCCAGGTGTTGCACATCCTCACTTATATTTAATGTGGCCATTCTATTGGTTACAAGCACTATCTATCTTTCTAGATTCTGGACTTCATTATCCTCCTCTGAGTAGTGCTGGATTTTGTTTTAGTGTGCAGATACCTTTCTGGTTATCTTGATAGGACTGCATTCCTTTTGGTGGGGCTTGCCTTCTCCAGTTTCTAGAGGCCACCAGAATTTAAATCTCTTTTTTGTATGCTCACACTCCTGCCTCTTTCTTATAAGGGCCTGTGTGATTACATTGAACCAATCCATATAATCTAGGATAATCTTTCCATTTCAAGGTCCTTAATTTAGTCATATCTGCAAAGTTCTTTTTGCTACCTAAGGTAACATATTCACAGGTTTGGGGATTAAGACATAGACGTCTTTATGGGATATTCTTCCCGCTGCAGTATGTCCACCAACCTCCAAAGATTTGTTATGTCCATCTACATGCAAAATATATTCACCCCATCCCAACAGCCACAAAAGTCATGAAGGTCTCAAACAATGAAACTGAATAACCCAGTTCACACTGTTTACAAACTGTTGCTTTCCACACTACTTCGGGGCACAATGCAGCTAAGCTTTTTGCAGTCATCTGAAGGGATTTATTTTTTCCAGTTTCCAATAACATGTTCCTCATTGCATCTGGGCCCTTATCAGAAGTGCCTTTGATGTTAATATTTCTACTTACAGTCTATTTGTGACAATGTAGTATCCTTTAAGATGATATATCTGTTCTTTACCGTACTCGTCACTTCTGAGTCCTCACTAGGGGAGTTGTTAACATTCATATTTATACTTACCATCTGTTCAAGGCAATCTAGGATTTTTCTATTGTCCTCCTCAGAATTCTCCTAGCATCTGCTCATTGCCGAATTCCCAAGCCATTTCTACATTCTAAGGTATTCAGCACTTCCAGGTATGAAAATGTGTATGAGTTTCCTATTGCTGCTGTAACAAATAGCCACACGTTTAGTGGTATAAAACACAGACTCTCCCACAGTTCTGGAGGTCAGAGTCCTACCGGGCTAATGTCAGGGTGTTAGCAGGCCTCAGACTCTTCTGGAGGCTGTAAGAGAAAACATTAGATTTTGAGAACACAATTGAACTTGTGCTAGATGAACAGTCTTTTTTTATTTTTTTAAATATATTTTATTGATTTTTTTTACAGAGAGGAAGGGAGAGGGATAGAGAGCTAGAAACATCAATGAGAGAGAAACATCGATCAGCTGCCTCCTGCACACCCCCTACTGGGGATGCTTCCCCAACCAAGGTACATGCCCTTGACTGGAATTGAACCTGGGACCTTTCAGTCCGCAGGCCGATGCTCTATCCACTGAGCCAAACTGGTTTTGGCTAGATGAACAGTCTTTAACAAGAAAAAGACATCAAAGATTGTGCCCTGAAGAGGATGTCTTTTTCCAGGCTATCTCAGAGAGGAACCCCTTCCTCAGCAGGAGATTCAAAGGGTCCAGGAACTCTGTGACCGATGACCAGTTTGACTATCTAGTTAAGGAAGATGACAATAACAGCTAACTCACAAAGCAGACGTGAGAAGCAAAGTACATGAGAAATGGGGAGACATTTTGTAAAGTGTGAAGTCACTTAGAAGACAGTTGGGCCTGGGAATGGTGGGTACAGGGTAAAGGGGGTCAATAGGGGAAAAGAAGAGCACATCAGTAATCTTTCAACAATTAAGACAGAAAGACACTTGTATGATCAAGTTTCTTTGGCACTTCCCAGAGACCCTTCTTCTTCTAGTTGCTGGTTTCCTTTCCTCTTTCATCTTGTTCCTTCAACCTATCTAACTCCCAAATGCTGTAATAGGTAAGACATAAGATTTAAATGCTGTTAAGATAAATTTTAATCACAATAAAAACTCAGTGATTTTTTTAAATTGTAAGATATCAAGGTTATGTTGATAACCAGTTGTTTTGAAACGTTGACTTGTTGACATCACTGTATCACATAAATCGATTATTTTCTCTTTGTAATTACTTATTATAAGTACTTTCAGACATGACCCCTGGTGCTCCAGGTCCCTCACATCGTTACTACTGCCTAGAGAATGAGAAGAGCTAAGATGCCATCATGAGTGGATCTTTTTCCTTTTGTCCTCTTTTCTCATACCACCATTAGGAAAAGGGTGTGGGCAGCTGAAAGCCAAGTCATTTTCTACCAAAGGGTTTGCTGAACGGAACAGGTGGACAATAGGAGGTGATAGGGAGGTTCGTTAATGGAGGCCCATCTGTGGCTCTTGATGGAAGGACTAAGCAGTGACTGCATACTTCTTATTCAGTGGCAGAGTTTGGGTTGGTCTTGTTACCATTTGAGACAGATTTCAGACTGACTTCAATGTGTTATTTTGTAACTTGAAAGAAAAAAAAAAAAACGTTCTTGAATACCCAGAACATTCCTGTTGTGTTTATTGTTCTGGGAACATGTGAGCTCGGAAAAACAAACACTTTGACTGTTTATTTTGTGGGTCAATTAAAATGACCATTTAATGCTTCATGAGATGGTCAGAACTGCTAATATCATCAGCATTGAGGATTGGTCAAAACTGTAATCATATCCAGTTGATTTTCCCTTAACAATGATCAAATACTTGCATAAGAGAAATCAACTCAGAATCTGTCCTGGATGGGCCTAAGTTTCTTATCTCCATCAGAATAAAGTCTTAGAGTGTTCACCTTAGTAATACAGGGCCATTTGTGTATGTAAGGCCATGGGTGGCTCAGTGTTTCCCAACAATAAAACCTTCGTGTAGGAGTCAATGTAGTGTAAGACAACAAGCATGGCCAGAAGCCAAAACGGACCCAGAGCCAAAATCCAGCTCCCCCACAATGATGTTGACTTCTGAGAGGAAGATCAGAGAAGATCAAAATTATAAGACAGAAATACTTAATGTCCGCAGCTGAATGCCTTTTTTTTTTAAAGAAGAAAAAAAAAAAGAAAAACACAAACAGGGTTTATTACAGACGTGGAGAAACAGGGGCCAGAATATAATCTCTACAGTACTATTCACGGTTAATTACGTGGTTCAGACTCTAAGCGCCAGGAGACCGGTGGCTAGAGAAACAAATGCTGCAAGATGCAACCTTGAAATACGGGTCACCAAAGTAATTACTATGTAAGATTTTAATTTGTAAAACACAAACATTTATATGACAGCCTTCTTTATGCATATGAAGAATTGTTCCTCTCATATTTTATGGATGATGCTCAGCTCTGGGGTCCCTGATGGACGGAGGTGGTAGAGCCTGGGGATACTGAGAGAATAAATAAAAGGCAGCGTTTCTTGGACCATCAAGGAGCAGGTTCAGGGGTGTGAAGTCTAAACCAGCAGCAGCATGGGCAGGTGGAGAGGACAGCATGCCCACCATCCTGGAGTTGATGGCGCTCTATCATAGGTCAAGTTTGATGGCGCTCTATCATAGGTCAAGAACGATGAAAGCTGTTTTGAAAGAATTTGCATTGGCTACAGACAAGGTGGGCAGAATAAGGTGGAGTGAGGGCAGTTCTAGGATAGGGGCAC